CCACGACGCGCGCCCCGAACGACTCCCACCACGAGGAGCCCGAACGAGTCACACCAGGAGGAGGGGCCCGAACGACTCACACCAGGATGAGGGGCCCGAACAACTCACACCACGAGAAGCCCGAACGACTCACACCAGGACGAAGAGCCCGAACGACTCACACCACGAAGAGCCCGAACGACTCACACCAGGAATAAGGGCCCGAACGACTCACACCAGGACGAGAAACCCCAAACGACTCAAATCACGAGGAGCGCTTTCTCTCCCTCCTCCTCCGCCTCGTCCTTCTCCCGCTCCCCCCACAAGGAGGATTCACAAGGAGGCGGGAGGAAGGAGGGACAGGCGAGATATACGGAGCCCAGCGGACACACGCCTGAAAAACACAACTGTCGACATGCTTCGCGAGAGCTGCTGCTGTGAGATGGGCTGGTGGGGATACGCGAAGCGTAAAGAATTACTCATGATGAGCTAGGACTCCTACAGTGCAAGCCTGTTGGAGAACTGAGGGAAGCCCTCACGCCAGATGAGCGCGCACGCCAACGAAGAGACCTCTCCTCACAGTGGCATGTGCTCCATCCGCGCGGCGGTTGGGAGCGTCTGCGTTGAGTGTGCGCGTCGCTGTGGCGAGGCGCCACAGTCTGAGAACGAGATGTTTTTTTGTTCCTCTTCCTCCTCCTCTTCCGCCTCCTCCTCCTCCTCCTCCTCCTCCTCCTCCTCCTCCTCCTCCTCCTCCTCGTCTTCCCCCTCCTCCTCCTCCTCCTCCTCCTCCTCCTCCTCCTCCTCCTCCTCCTCCTCCTCCTCCTCCGCGTGCCTGTCGAGACCAGCTTTGCACGAACCTGCGCGGCGCCGTGCCGTGCCCGCCGGCGGCGAGGGCAGCGGCGGTCCCCGCTCCAGCGCGTGGGCTGCTCGGGGCAGCCGAAAGGCGCGAAGTGTCCGGCGTGCCCAGGAGGCAGGAAGAAAGGAACGCGCGGCGCCGACACGAGAGTCAAAACTCGCAGTCGCCCCCGCCCCCTGGCCCGCGCGACCCTCGGGGAGGTGAAGCTTCAGGCGCACGGAACGGCAACGGGGGCGCGCCAGCGACACGCCCGGACCACCCCACCGACACGTCTGCGCGTGAGACGGGGGGGGGGGGTAAAGAGGAAAAGGAGGAGGACAAGGGCAGGAGGCAGGAAAAAAACGCGCGGCGCCAAGACGATCTCGCCCCCGGCCGACCCTTCGGCGCGGGAGCGCCGCGCCGTGGGGGGTGGCTCTCCGTTGCCGCCCTCCGCTGGCCCGTGTTTTGTCCGGAGGGAAAAGAAAGACACCAGGAATCGTCGATTCCCCAAAAAAGTATGGGACACTATGGGGAGTGGGGGGGGGAAGACAAAAGCCCAGAGAATATGGGAAAATGTGGGGAATCTTTTTTTGTTGGTGTGTACTCCAGATTTCGTAATAAAAGGGAGGGGGTCTGGACCCTCCAAGACAAGCCATTTCAGACCCCCCCCGTGGGAGAACCCTCCAAAACACCGTCCCCAGACCCCCCCAGGCCCCCCAAGATAGCCTGGAAGAGACCCCCCCCCGAAATGAGACCCCCCTCCCTTTATTACGAAATCTGGAGTGTCTACTTGTGCGTCCCAGAGCCCCCGTCTGCGCGACCCTCGGGGAGGCGAGGCTTCCGGAAGCACGGAACGGCGACGGGGGCGCGCCAGCGACACGCCCAGGCCACCCCACCGACGCGTCTGCGCGTGAGACGAGGAGGGTGGGGGTAAGGGGAAGAGGAGGAGGACACGAGCAGGAGGCAGAGGAAGAAGAGCAGGACCACCCCACCGACACGTCTGCGCGTGAGGCGGGGGGGGGGTAAGGGGAAGAGGAGGAGGACACGGGCAGGAGCAGGGGTCAGGATTAGGCCGGGCACGTCCACCTACAGGCAGGGACGGGAGGGGGGGGGTAAGGGGAAGAGGAGGAGGACAAGGGCAGGAGCAGGGGTTAGGATTAGGCCGGGCACGTCCACCTAACAGGCAGTTTTGGAGCAAAGAATGAAACATGGTCAAACAATGCCCGACAATGGTCAAGAACAGTCCGAAAACAGGCCCCTGACTTTGCTTTACTATTTTTGAATACTCCTCCTGTAGAGGGACAAACCCGACTTAAGTGTAGGAGGAGGAAAAGGAAAGGAGGAGGAGGAGAAGAGAAGAGAAGAGAAGAGAAGAGAAGAGAAGAGAAGAGAAGAGAAGAGAAGAGAAGAGAAGAGAAGAGAAGAGAAGAGAAGAAAGAGAAGAGAAGAGAAGAGAAGAGAAGAGAAGAGAAGAGAAGAGAAGAGAGAGAAGAGAAGAGAAGAGAAGAGAAGAGAAGAGAAGAGAAGAGAAGAGAAGAGAAGAGAAGAGAAGAGAAGAGAAGAGAAGCAGAAGAGAAGAGAAGAGAAGAGAAGAGAAGAGAAGAGAAGAGAGAGAAGAAGAGAAAGAGAGAGAAGAGAGAGAGAGAAGAGAAGAGAAGAGAAGAGAAGAGAAGAGAAGAAGAGAAAGAAGAGAAGAGAAGAGAAAGAGAAAAAGAAGAGAAGAGAAGAGAAGAGAAGAGAAGAGAAGAGAAGAGAAGAGAAGAGAAGAGAAGAGAAGAGAGAGAAGAGAAGATAAGAGAAGAGAAGAGAAGAGAAGAGAAGGAGAAGAGAAGAGAAGAGAAGAGAAGAGAAGAGAAGAGAAGAGAAGAGAAGAGAAGAGAAGAGAAGAGAAGAGAAGAGAAGAGAAGAGAAGAGAAGAGAAGAGAAGAGGAGAGCCCCTCCCCCTCTCACCCGCCCTCCGCTCCCTTTCCCGAAAGACCTCCGGGGTGTCCGGGACGCCGCCGTGAACCTCAAGAACCCGCCGAGCCACCCTCGAGGATCACTGGCACCCTCTCGAACATTGCCGACACACCTCCGAAGACCACCGAGGATCCTCCGAAGACGTCTGCAAACGACGACGACGACGACGACGACGACGACGACGACGACGAGGACGACGAGGGCGACGAGGGCGACGAGGGCGAATACGAAGATGAGCACGACGAGGGCGTGAACGAGGACAAAGACGAGGACGAGGACGAGGACGACGACGACGACGACGACGACGACGACGACGGCCCGGCTCCGGGATGCGCGTCTGCCACCTCTCGGGGATGTGGGGCGCGAGCCGGCCCTCCTCCAGGAAGCGTAGGAAGCCCTGCGGTGGCAGGGGGGTCCTCACCCTCCTCCAGCCTCCTCGAGCCTTCTCCTCCTCCTCCTCCTCCTCCTCCTCCTCCTCCTCCTCCTCCTCCTCCTCCTCCTCCTCCTCCTCCTGCACCTTCCCTTCCGCCTTCTCCTCAATTTCTGCCTTCCCCTTCTTGCCCCCCACCTCCTTTCCTTCCTTCCCTCTCATCCCAAAAATAATTTCGAGCACCCGGAATAGTGTCAAAAGAGTGCCGAAACAGTGTCGAAACAGTGTCGGGCGAGTGTTTCCCAGGGCCCGACACGTGAAAACCATCGAGTTTCGGCACTTTTTGGGGCGCTCGAAATTCTTTCTGGTGATCAAGGCTAGAGTAGGTTGGAGCATCATACGGGTAGAGGGAGGGGGAAGGCTTCGTCGAAGGCTGCTGCGCCTCGCAAGGCACCGGCCCTACACCAGAAGACGAGGCCCGCGCCTTCGAGGAAGCAGGGGCGCTTCTGAGAAGCCTTCCCCCCGCCCCCCATACCCCCCTCTGCGCGTGGCCGAAAATAGGGGAACAAAAAAAAAACACATTAACATAAAAACTCGGAGGTCCGCGCGGATTTCTCGGATCGGCGCTGGACCCCCCTCCCTGGCGCACGGAGCGCGCCAGGGGCGGCGCCAGAGGCGCCGCCGGGGGGCCCCAGCGCCGATCCGAGAAATCCGCGCAGACCTCCGAGTTTTTATGTTCATGATACTTTTTGCTCCCCTAGAAAAGAGGGCGGGCGTGCGCGCCGCGGAGAGCAGGCCGTGAAGGCGCTGTGCACCGATCCCGGGCCAAGGAGGCGCCTGGCGAGGCTCGGTGCACAGAGGCGTGCAGCTGGCCTCCGCCGATGGAGACCAGACCGGATCGGCCCACCTACGAGGGCCGGATCCATCGGCGGCGAGCGAGGGAGGAAGTGAGAAGGAGAAGGCCTTCTCGAAAGGTTCGGACGCCCCCCGGCCTTCTGAGCAGTGTGCTGCGCCCCCCTGGAAGACACAGAGAGCTGCCCAGAAGGCGCGAGGGCTTCCGAGCCGCCCCGCCGCCTTCTGCGAGGGCCTTCTCCTTCTCACTCCCCCCTTCGCTCGCCACCGGCTCAAGGCCATGTGGCCGATTCCCCAAACCCTGAACCCAATAATGTTGAAATATCCTGAAGAAGGCGATTTCTACTTCTTCCTGCCGGCGTCCGCTGGCAAAGGCGGCCTCGCTCGACTTCCGCCGGCTTCCGCCGCCTTTCCGCCGCCCTCCGCCGGGAAAGAGATGCAAGCTCCTCCAGTCCTCCATTAGAGGAGAGGCCCTTTCTCTGGCACGCCTCGTGTCGGCCGGGGAGTGCCGCGACCGATGGGCACGAAGGTCGGGGGCCACGGAGAGCGGAAGGGGAGAGTGAAAGAGCGGCACCCGGAACCACAGAAGAAGCTCCGAGTTGAAAGCACACGGGTGGAGGAAAAACAACGTGCCGAGATCATGTGCATTAGAAGCCATTTGCAGAAGTGGCGGGTGAAAGCCCTCACGTGGTCAGGCGGAAGGTGGAAGTAGTAATCTGAATGATTAATCGTCGAGGGAGGGGGGGAAAATAGAAGAGACAGCACGGAAGAGAAGAATATGGAAGTGAGACAAGATATGCAGATGAGAGGATGTGCTATGCAAGCAGTCGAGGAGGGGCATAAGACGTGCAGGCCGTGCGGCCATGAGACGAGGACGGGAGATGCTCTCCTGGGCCGCCAGAAAACCTGCGAGGAAGCTGCTGTAGCTGCAGTCGCCGCAGAGCACCAGCCGCCGCTCGGTGCAGTTCCACAACTCCTCGGGCGCTTGCAGTGGGGGAACCTGGGAGCGCATGAGATGCCTCTGCCGGCTGCATAACACCTTAGCGATGGGCTCGCGCACACAAGCTGAAGTACATGGCGAACCACGTGTGACAGCCGGCCCCTTTGGGGGACATGGGCACTCGTGCTCGTGCTGGCCTCCGTGGACTCCAGGCGGCCCTGTGCAAAACGCCGACCGCTACACGTGGGTCTCGCCGACGCCTCGAGCCACCTCGACAAAGGAGCCTGCAAATCCTCTGCTCACGTGTGCGGGCGTCCTACGGCAAACAGGGGGCGAAGAAATCAGGTTCAACACTTCGGTGGCACAGCTGGCACATTGCCCACGCTTCACCACCCACGAAGTCGCCATGCGGCACTGCTCTAAGGAACCTCAGTGCTCCTCGCCGTCTTGATCATCCCAACCCCCTGCACTGGCCCAGTCTCACATATGTGTCTGTCTCTTTCTCTATATCGCTCTGCCAACGTTGCTATCCCTGTGTACGTCTCTGTCTACGTCTTCCATCTGTCGTGCCATCTGTGTATAGGTCTGACCCTGCGACATGCAAGTTTACTCTCCGCTATGAAGCAAGCCATCCCTCTTCATGCATTGTCGTTGTGTACCGATGCACACGCATGTATCTGAGAGTATGCACACACGTGTGAAGTACAGTATCCCCGTCCCACTCTGCACCACTAAATGTTCCTATCCTTCTCTCTCTCTCTCTTTCTCGTTTTTCTTCTTTTCTCTTTCTCTCTCTCTCTCTCTCTCTCTCTCTCTCTCTCTCTCTCTCTCTCTCCCGGATATATCCGCCACCGTGCCCTGAGGCAAGAGTTCGAGTTGGAATGTCCCCAGGTCCCTGGGAGCTCTCCGTCCTCAGTCCTGAGCGAATGTGTACTCAGGGGCCCAGACCACAAATTGCTGGATTTCGCGGAGCGTGTCGCGTGTTCCCGCATGACATGTTCGGAGCCATGCCAGCCCCGAAACTAGCAAAAAGGACACCAAGAGGCCCCCAAGGCGGTCCAAGAGGGCACCGAGTCGCAAAAAGATCGCTCCAAGACGCCCAAGATGGCCTCCAGACGGCCCAAGACGCCTCGAGGACGCCACAAGAGGGCGTCAAGAGCGCTGCCAAAACAGGGCCCAGGAAGCCAAAATCACAGATTGTCCGTAGCTTCTTGAGGGAATCGAGTGTCCTCGCCGTGTTGGGCGCTCGACGCCCCGAGTCGACCCAGGAGGCCCCCAAGATCGCCCCAGGACGGCCCACGAGGCACCCACTAGGCCCCCAAGAGGGCGCCGAGAGGGCCCCTAAGACGGCCCAAGAGGGCCCCAGGACGGCCCACGAGGGCACCCAAGACGGCCCCAAGAGGTCCACAGAGGTGGAACACGAGTCGACATTCCGAGCGCTCCGCCCCAAGAAGGCCGCCAGCAGGTCCCCCGGAGGCCCCCCAGAAGCTCCAGGAGGCTCTAGAGACCCCAAGGAGGCCCAACGCAGGCCCCAAGAGGCCCCCAAGAGACCCCGACGACACCCCCAACCGGCCGCCAGGAGGCTCCCGAGAAGCCCTCCGAGGGAGGCCCACGGGCATCCAAGAGGCCTCTGACCTACAACTCAGACACGGTGGCGGAGTGGGCCGAAGGCCACTGTGCCACCAGATCCGCCGCCCCCAGTTGCTTGCCACAGGAGTGCACGGGGTGCGCCTGGTGGTCTGTGGTTCTTTTGGAACTACCCCATGGGGCTTCGGCCGATCCCGCTGGCCACTGGGAAGGACCCACAACCCCGCTGACGAGCCCATCTCCGCTGGCCCTATCGCCGCAAGGACGGTCAAGATGTTGCAAGGTGGCCTCCAAGCTCGCCCAAGGTGGTCCAAGCTGGCCTCCAAGGCAATCCAAGAGGGTCCAAGATGCCTCCCCAGGTCGGCCCTAGAAGCCACCAAGACGGCCCAAGATGGCTCCAAGATGCCCCAAGGTGGCCTAAGAGGCCCCCCAGGGGCCTCCAGGACGGCCCAAGAGACTCAAAAAGACTCTCCAGGAAGGCCCGAAGAGGCAAAACCATTGATGTGCCTTAAGTGCTTGAAGGATTTGGGTATTTGCCTATGTTCGGCCTTCCCACGGCCCAAGACGACCGAGGAGGCCCCCGGGTCTCCTCCTCTCCTCCTCCTCCTCCTCCTCCTCCTCCTCCTCCTCCTCCTCCTCCTCCTCCTCCTGCTCCTCCTCCCTCCTCCTCCTCCTCCTCCTCCTCCTCCTCCTCCTCCTTCTCCTCCTCCTCCTCCTCCTCATCCTCCTCATCCTCCTCAATTTTTACTTCGGCCTCCAAAATCCCAAGAACGCCCCAAGAGGCCCCCAAGACGGCCCAGAGGGAGCCAACTTGGTCCCAGATGGTCCTCAAGACACCCAAGATAGCCCCCAAGACGACCCTGAGGCGCCCCCAGAGGACTCCAAAACAGCCCAGAGAGGCCCCCAAGACGGCGTTCGACGGCGACAGACGGGCCAGGAACGCCCTAAGACAGCCAAGCCAAAGAGGCTCCCAAGAAGCCCCAGCAAGGGCCTCAAGAGAGCCCCAGAAGGCTCCAAATGCTCCCAACTTGCCCCAAGGGGAGCCCAAAGATGGCTCCAAGAGGCCTCCAACAAGCTCCTGGAGGTCAACAAGTGGGCCTTTGGTGGAGACTGCTCGATTGATAGCAGCTTCGGTTTGACTGGAAGTCCAGTGGCCTACCTCTCGATGTGGCGATCTGTCGGGCCCGACTTGGCTTTCGCTCTCCGACGGGCAGGCAAAGACTCTCGCTCACATCTCCCTCTGTGCATGAGAAGACATGCGGGAAAGTCCAAGATCGAATCGCGTGCCCACGGGCTTCTGCACTCGCGCACAGCTTCGCGCATGGCAGGGGGCAAGCATGTGAAGTCGAACGCGCCTGACTACACCCTACCCACCCTCGGCTCTCCGGCAGAGTGCCAAGCACGGGCACAGACCCGTACCATTCTGCCGTGCACCTCTCACCGCCACGCGCGCCAGCTGTGGGAGATTGCACCGAGAGGCCTGCCAGGCCACAGCGAGGGGGGCCGGATCCGCGGCCGCACTCCGGGGAGACGCAAGCCTCGAACTTCGGGGGACTCGGGTTGGCCTGACGGGCCCGTAACAGAAATCTGACGCGAGCTCCCGCTGCCAGCACCCCACGAAAACTGGAGGAGGAGGAGGAGGAGGAGGAGGAGGAGGAGGAGGAGGAGGAGGAGGAGGAGGAAGGGGGGAGGACGAGGAGGAGGAGGAGGAGGAGGGAGGAGGAGAGGAAGAGGGAGGAGGAGGAGGAGGAGGAGGAGGAGGAGGAGGAGGAGACCGTCAAACACCCAGGGGACGGGCCCGTCCACAGGCGCCGGCACCTCCGAGCTCCGGCGAGCTCGAGCCCGACGCTTCCCCGAGCAGGCCGCACCGCGGGAGGCGCAGCGGAGGAGCTCCGCGCGCCATCCCGTCGGAAGCTCACTGGCGAGCCGGCGGTTCGCGCCGCCGCGCGACTTTCGAGGCGGCCCACGGGCACACAAAGAAATGCACACACAAATAACAGGATTCCCCATATTTCCCCATATTTTCTAAGTTTTTGTCTTTCCCCCCCCCATATTTTCCTGGGGGTCGACGATGGATTGTGTCTGTGTGTTTCTCTTCCTCGTGCGTAGCCCGCCTAGCTTTTAGCGGAAGAGGTTCGCTCTCGCCCCGCAGACCGAAAGTGTTTCTCTCCCTCCTGAGAGTTGGCATGCCCGGGAGCCCCCCGCCGCGGCCCCGCGACGGCGGTGCCACGGCCCTGTCGCACCCCTCTCCCCCCCCCCGGCTCAGCAGCCCAAGCCTGGAAGGGGCCCTGGGACACACAACTAAATACACACAAATAAAAAGACGCCCCATATTTTCCAGTATTTTCTGGGTTTTCGTCTTCACCCCCACTTCCCATATTTTCCCATACTTTCCTGGGGGCCCAGGGGCACACAAATAGATACACACAGATAACAGGATTCTCCATATTCCCCATCTGTTCTGAGTCTTTGTCTTCCCCCCCTCTTCCCATATTTTCCAACATTTTCCTGGGAGTCGACGATCTATTGTGTGTGTGCTTCTCTCCCTCCTGAGAAGGCGGCCCGGGAGCCCCCCCGCGGCGGCCCCCGCGGCGGCGGTGCCGCGGCCCTGCCGCACCCCCCTCCCCCCCCCCCCCCCCGGCGCAGCAGCCCAAGCTGGAAGGCCAGAGCTCGGGCCGTTATTCGGGTCGGGCGAAAGGGGGGGATAGCAAAGGGGGGGTTTGAGAATCAGCTCACGTAGCTGATTTTCCCGGCGCCTCCCGGCGCCGGAGGGAGCTATGTATCGAGGACTGGGCCCCTCGGCGAGGCCGAAACCAGCTGCATGCAGCAGAGTTCGTAACCCCCCCTTTCCCAATCCCCCCCTTTCGTCCGGCCCGAGTTATGTCGGGCGTGCCCCCCCTACAGGGGGATTCTCGACGAACCTAAAAAAATACCCCCAGAAATACCCCAAAGAGGTAGAACAAAAAAAAAAAACCCCAGACTAATGTTGACATTTTTGTTTATATTATTTGGGGGGTATGTTTTATCGTTCGTCGGAAATCCCCCCTGTAGGGGGATTTTCGACGAAAAATAAAAAATAATCCAAAAATACTATATATATATATAATAATAATAATATTTTTTTAAAAAATATAATAATAATAATAATAATAATAATATTTTATTTATTTATTTATATATATATATATATATATATATAAATAAAAAAAAAAAAAAAAAAAAAAAAAAAAAAAAAAAAAAAAAAAAAAAAAAAAAAAAAAAAAAAAAAAAAAAAAAAAATCCCCTGACCATTTTGGTCATATTTTGTTGTTATTTTTGGTGTATTTTTTGTTTTTCGTCGGCAATCCCCCTGCAGGGGGACAGGCCCGACTGAAAGCTCGGGGCCTGGATCCGTGGAGACCAGGCCGGGCGGCGGGCTGGGCGCCGTGCCCGCGCAGATGCCCTCCGGGCGCCCCCTCCCTCGGGGGCGCGCGAACATGGACTGGCGATCCCTGGATTCTGGCGCGCGGTCGCCAAATCCACGGATCGGGGGCGGCGCCCTCCCCCAAAACTGCGGCGGGTGCCGCCTCGCTCGGCGGCGGGAATCCGCGGTTCCCCAGGGAAACGGGGCCCGTCGCTGATCCACCCCCCCCCCCCTGATCCATGTTTGCGATCGCCCGACTCCCGCAGCTAGACAAAAGAAAAATGGAACCCTTGGCTCCGTTTCCCCCCTTCCCCCCCCAATCAAAGGTGACCTTGGGCATTCTGGGGCACGGGCTCGAAAGGACAAAGAAAAGAAGTGGAACACCCAGGGCCTCCAGCAGGCAGGACGCCAACTTCGAGTCGGGGGGGAACCAGGGGCGAACACGGGGTCGATCACGAATGGAGTCCACTTGTTTTTTACATATATAAATATACATATCTATATATGTACAGATATATATATATATACATAAACCGTAGCATTTTTTCCCGTAGCATTAATAAATATGTTTGAATTTATGTAATGTAACTGCATAATGTTACTGTAATGACTCAAGGTAAACTGAAAACAGGAATTCCAAATAAGCAAACAGATATGTAAATGCAACAGAACAAAGCAGTGAAGGACAGGAGAACATAATCAGATGACACTTCAGTCAATAAGCATCACTACAAACAATATGAAGTGCATCTCTAATATTTATTTATTTATTCATTCATTCATTTGTTTATTTATTTACTTACTTGTATATCTATTTATTTATTCATATTTATTTAGGTGTCCGAAAAGTTACCACAGGGATAACCCACAGCAGACTCAGGGCTGAGGAAACGCTGGAGCAGTGCTCTGGTGGTCCTTCACCCGCCCAGCTCCGTCCCCTTCCACTCTGGACCGATCTGGCGGGAAGCTGGCTTGTGGCAGCTCATCGCGCGTCCAAAGCGTTCGCGTGCTTGCTTTTACCTCCTTTAATGTCTGCTCTACCTATCCTTGAGTCGCGGCAGTCCAAAGCGCTTGGAGCAGAAGTTTGCATTGTCGAAAGAAAAATGTGTATTGGAGTGGCCGCTTTTCGGCGACCCCTCGGAATTCAATTTTCCGGCGCCGGCCAGAGCCGGCGCCGGAGCCGGATTCGGCCCGGGCGCCGGCTCGGGCGCCGGCGCCGGATCCGGCGCGAGCGCTCGGGCGTCCGGCTCGAGTGCCGGCCCGGGTGCCGGAATCGGCCTGGAAGCCTTCCCGGGCGCCAAGAGCAGAAAATTCAACATTTTCAAACAAAAATGTGTATTGGAGTGGCCTTTTTTCGGCACGGCCTCGGAATTCAATTTTCCGGCGCCGGCCGGAGCCGGCGCCGGCGCCGGATTCGGCTCAGGCGCCGGCCCAGGCGCCGGCCTGGGGGTCTGGCTCGAGCGCCGGCCTGGGTGCCGGAATCGGCCCGGAAGGCCTCCCGGGTGCCGGGAGCAGAAATTCAACATTTTCGAAAGAAAAATGTGTATTGGAATGCGTAGTGGAGTGGCCTTTTTCCAGCACGGCCTCGGAATTCAATTTTCCATGGCGCCGGCCGGAGCCGGCGCCGGCGCCGGATGCGGCTCATGCGCCGGCCCGGGCGCCGGCCTGGGCGTCCGGCTCGAGCGCTGGCCCGCGGTGCCGGAATCGGCCTGGAAGGCCTCCCAAGCAGCGCCGGGAGCAAAAATTCAACATTTTCGAGAAAAAAAAAAAATGTGTATTGGAGTGGCCTTTTTCCGGCACGGCCTCGGAATTCAATTTTCCGGCGCCGGCTGGAGCCGGCGCCGGCGCCGGATTCGGCTCAAGCGCCGGCTCGCGAGCGCCGGCCTGGGCGTCCGGCTCGAGCGCCCGCCCGGGTGCCAGAATCGACCCGGAAGGCCTCCCGGGCGCCGGGAGCAGAAATTCAGCATTTTCGAAAGAAAAATGTGTATTGGAGTGGCCTTTTTTGGCACGGCCTCGGCGGAATTCAATTTTCCGGCGCCGGCCGGAGCCGGCGCCGGCGCCGGCGCCGGCGCCAGATTCGGCTCAGGCGCTGGCCCGGGCGCCAGCCTGGGGGTCCGGCTCGAGCGCCGGCCCGCGGTGCCGGAATCGGCCTGGAAGGCCTCCCAAGCAGCGCCGGGAGCAGAAATTCAGAATTCTCGAAAGAAAAATGTGTATTGGAGTGGCCTTTTATCGGCGCGGCCTCGGGATTCATTTTTCTGGCGCCGGCCGGAGCCGGCGCCGGCGCCGGATCCGCCCCGGGCGCCACCCCCAGCGCCGCGGCCCGGGCGTCCGGCTCGAGCGCCGGCCCGGGTGCCGGAATTGGCCCGGAAGGCTTCCCGGGCGCGCCTCGGAATTCATTTTTCCGGCGCCGGCTGGAGCCGGCGCCGGCGCCGGATTCGGCTCAGGCGCCGACGCGGGGCCGGCCCGGGATGCATTAATTAATTAATGATCGAATTCATTAATTAATTAATTAATTAATTAATTAATTTCAATTAATTAATTACAATTAATTAATCAAAATCATTTTTTAAAATTAACTAATTAATTAATTGATTAATTAATTAATGAATTAATAAATTTTAATTAATTAATTAATTAACTAATTAATTACTGAATTATCTAATTATTTAATTAATTAGTTAATTAATCAATTAATCCATTAATTCATTAACCAATTAATTAATTCATTCATTAATTAATACTTAATGCATTACAGTACCTAATTATAAGCAATGAAGTAATGAATGAATTAACGAATGAAAGAATTAACACAGAAATGGGTTAACGCTCAAGCGCCGCGATGCTATCCAGGTGTGCATTCAAGAATCAATTCAGGAATCAATTCAGGAATGAATTCAGGAATTGGGGGAAAAAAAAGCTTCGGACTCGATTTTTCACGCTCTAATTCAAGAATCAATTCAGGAATCCATTCAGGAATCAATTCAGGAATCAATTCAGAAATGGATCCAGGAGGTGCATGCCAGGAATTCCGGGAATGTCCATCCAATTCAGGAATCATTCAGGAATCATTCCAAGAATGTCCATTCAGGAATAAAAATTCTCGAATCAATTCAAGAATCAATTCAGGAATCATTCAGGAATCAATTCAGGAATTGAAGGCACCTTTCCTGGGGGACCTTCTCGGGAGAATTTCTGGGCAACCCGAGAAAACCCCCCAGCCTCGATTTTGTACACTCCTATTCAGGCATCAATGCAGGAATCAAGTCAGGAATCAATTCAGGAATCAATTCAGGAATCAATTCAGGAATCAATTCAGGAATCCATGCAATTCAGGAATCAATTCAGGACCACGCTGAGGCGTTCTGGCTACGAGGGCTGATACCATCGGCGTGGGTCGCGGCACTGCCACCCCCATCAATGAAGCATTTTCTCTTCTCCCCCACTGCTCTGCTGCTGTCCTGTTGTTCTTGTTTCAACCGTTATCCTATCTTCTGTTCTCCTCCTCTCCTCTGCTCACCTTCGCTGCTATTCTATAATTTTGTATTACCGTCCTTTCTGCCAGGAATCCGGAAATCAATTAATTAATTAATTAATTAATTAATTGATTAATTAATTAATTAAGTAATTAATTAATTAATTTCCATCGGATCCGAACTTGGAATCTGGACTCAGGAGTCCAATGAAAAGATGTAGAACCCCCGTCGCCTAACGAAAACGATTTTCTCCTCTAGACCTCTTTCGAAATCCTAGGTTACATGTCAGCTTCAATTGAATTTATGTAATGGAAATTGATTCGGAAATAGTTTCCCACGTGTATGTAATTGTGGAAAACGATGAGGTGTATTGTTTCTCTTTTTTATTTTTTACTAATGGAGTCCACTTTTTTGTCCTCGTACTATCCCACCCTCCCAAACGCTTCCCTCTCCTCCACTCCCTGCTCTCGACGCCCCGCCCCGTGTGAGACGTGTCCTCGCCCATCGCCTCGCTGAGCGATGGCAGGGCCTCGACCTTGTCCAGCGCGGCACGCGCCCCAGCGAAGTCCGAGCGCTGCAACCTGCAGCAGCAGCAGCAGCAGCAGCAGCAGCAGCAGTGAGGGCGATCCCGGCTGTCGACACCACCAACACTTAAGCCGGGCCTGTCCCCCGACAGGGGGATTTTCGAAGAAAAATGAAAAATACCCAAAAAATACCCCAACATTGTCAAAAACATACTCAAAAAATCGTGCCCAGGCTATTTTTTGACTACTTTTGAATATTCCCCCTGTAGAGGGACAGGCCCGACTTAACATTAGCAGCATCGGCAGCGGCGAAAACAATGGCAGCAACATCGACGGCCACGAGTTGAGCACATCCCAACACGGGAGGCGCAGAGATCAAAACGGGCCAAAACAATGGCAACAACGTCGACAACGGCAGTGGCAGATGCATCGGCAACGACGACAACAGCACCGACCAGAAAGGCCGCTGGCAGAAGCAGCTGTTGTGCTCCTCTTCCTGTCTCCCCGCTCTCCACGCCGCCCCTTCCCTACATGGGAACAGCAGCCACGGAGAGGGCCTCCAGACCGCACACACGTGTACAGATGCATATCGGATCGGGAAGAGGGAGAGAGAGAGAGAGAGAGAGAGAGAGACATCAGCGGCGAGCGCGGGGGGAATTGAGAAGGAGAAGGCCTTCTCTGAAGGCGGCGGGACTTCTCAGGAGCCCTCGCGCCTTCTGAAAGGTTGTTGTTCCTGTCTTCTGAGAAGGCTTAGGAAACTTCTCAGAAGGCTGGGGGACTTCCGAGCTTCCTGAGAAGGCCCACCCAGTCTCACTTCCCCCCCAGGCCCGCCGCCGATTTATATACTCGGACACGGATACTGACACTTGTTGGTCCGTGGGCGCAAGCGAGCAGGCGTCGGTCGAGCAAACGGCGGGACGCAGCGAAGCGAACTGAGGCACGAAGGCGCGGGAAGAATGGATGGGCGGAACAGGTGGAGGCGGGTCAGGACATGTAGTTCGTCACGGGCTTGCCGAAGCGAACATACAGACGCATGCATACACACATATCTGCACGACAGCACGGAGCCGCCCAGCGCAGGTGCTGCCACATCACAGCAGATCACGTGCACAAAGGAGGCGCAAACCTGGCTGATGGGCAGAGCAGCATCCACACGAAAGCGTCCAGGGCGCAGACATGATGACGCATTCGCGCTGCGATGAGATGTGCTGCGTGCACCCCCGACTGCAAGAAGCATGGGGCACTGTTTTTCGCAAGCGCGATCACCCCGCCAACTGGTGCCACGGGAGCCCCATGCCGCTAGAGCCTGCCAGACAGCATGATGCAACGACTGCAGACCGACGTCACAGAGGCGGCTTACGAAGACTTCTTGAACGTGGGCGTGCAGCGTGCCTTCTTCTTCCTCTTACATTTGCCACGTAAAATCCCGCAGAGTCCACCTCCAACCTGGAAGCTTCTTTAATTCTTCAACAAGCGCAGGCGTTAGCCTTCTAAGTCCCAGGTTCGTGTCGATCCGCGGACGCGATGCCCCACCTCGGATCATCGTGCGTTTCTCCCAGCAGAGGCGGGCGCACGTCTTCCGTAGCAGGCGCTCTTTTAGACCACCTGGGTATCTTCTTGGCGACGAAGGAAGTCTGTCCAAGCCTTTCGATGGATCCATGGCGTAAGCGCGCAAGTCCGCCAAAATGCGCTGGGACGGCATGCGCCATGTTGCCTCCAATCTGCCTGGTCACGAGCAACCCATATGTGGAGGCTGCCAAGTTTAGATTATTGCGTAAGTAAAAGCCAACAGAAAAATCTACGGTTAGAGATTCAACCCATGTGTCAGCAAAATTTGTATGAAAATCGCCGTGTTCGTTACCTGGTCGACCCTTGGCACGAAGACGGCGTGTCGGTTCACCGTTTTGCGTGGCACATCATCTGATCAAGTTCAATGAACCTCACAGACAAATTTGATCCAGAGCTTACTCCAGACATCTCGTAAAGCTGCATTAAGTTAGGCGATATGTTAATGGTTATCCGGCTAGCGTTTTAGGGCCTGAGTGGTTTAGCAAGACCGTTATTCCAACCCTCTTCTCCCTCTTCGAAGAGGGTGTACCACTGTACCGTATTAATACACACCCTCTTCCCAACCTGACCGATGGCGAACCCGGAGCCATGACACACACACACACATACTTTTTGCGTCGGCGGCTAGGCAAAGTCACTGCGCTGGCGAATGTGTCGTAGGTGGGGTGCGTTGAACGCGAATTGGGCCACCATGTAGGAGGAGGAGGAGGAGGAGGAGGAGGAGGAGGAGGAGGAGGAGGAGGAGGAGGCGGCGCAAGGCGACGGCGGGGGGGGCCACGCACACACACACACACACACACACACACACAAACCGCCACTCCTGTCAATGACAATACAAAAAAACACTTTGCGGCAAAATCCCACCAGCCCTCTGAGCAACCTCAGGCGTGCTGGAAGCGAGCGGACTCGCTCGGACTGAGCTTCATGGCATCACCGCTAGCAGCGCGATGGCATCCCGCGCGAGCGGGTACGCATGGAGCGAGCTCCAGCCCGTGCTGCATTTGCTCGGGCGGCGCAGAATCACGTTCCTTCGGGTATGCGCGATCCGTTGCGAGTGTTTTCCGCGAGTTGTAGCTGCTCCTGCAACGGGGATTGCACCCACACGCGCACTTTCTTGGCATCGCGGCCGTGCGCGCAGCGACACGGCAGAAACGGGCCAACGCAGGCGGATCGAGCGCGCGCGCCGCGGCCTCACCAATTCAGCAGCCCCGGCGAGGAAATCAAGGCTACAGGCACAATGTTCCCCCTCCAGCGAAGTGGCGGCACCGTCGCGAATGCTTGAACGGAAAGCGCTCGAACGAGCGAGTTGCATCCGGCATTGCTGATGCAGGCAAACGGGAGACCACAAGCTGGCGTGCAGGAGAGCTGCGTGGAGCCCGTCGTCGAAAAGCTACGCTTTTGGAGTCAGCGGCGCAGAGGGTCCTCAAGCGCGAGCAGCGCATGGAAGTGCGAATTGCGATCGAGCACGATTCGAAGGCGCAGTGTACGAACCGTTGGAGAAGCTACGCACGCATGCACACGCACACCCGCGCGCAACCCCGCTTACGACGACATCGTGGCCGCTGTCGCGCCCCCCTCGGAGGGGCCTGGCGCACGCCACGTACGCGAGCCGCCTCCCCGTCGACACCACGGCGTGGAGCCTTTCCCTGGCCAGCTTCACCTCCCCGCTGCGGCAGCTGCGCGCTCTGCCCCGAGCTCCGACAGTTCACCACCACCCCACCCGCGGGACCCAGACTGCGACCGCATCAGCCACCGCTGCTCCACCCCAGCATTCAAGACTCCTCCTCCTCCTCCCCCTTCCCTCACCCTCACCCTCCTCCTCCTCCTCCGCCTCCTCCTCCTCCTCCTCCTCCTCCTCCTACTCCTCCTCCTCCTCCTCCTCCTCCTCCTCCTCCTCCTCCTCCTCCTCCGCCTCCTCCTCTCCTCCTCCACTTTCGCCTGCCCATCCCCCCACCGCTCTTCCACGCTCACTATCTCCCTCGCTGCTTATGGCGCACGCACCTCCTCCTCCGTTGAACCCCAACGTTGCCAGTTGTTCGAAAGGAAACCCCTTCCCTTTGATCCCTTCCCTGGCGGGGGGCGAGGGGGTGCGGCAGGGGGGATGCCCCGGGGTGGTCCCGGGGGAGGCGGGGGCCCGGGGGGATCCCAGGGGAAGGTAGCTGGGGGTCCCGCGGAGGGGGGGCCGGGAGGGAGCCCCGGGGAGGTCCTGGGAGTCGTCACCGCACCCCCAGGAAGTCCCCCTGTGGAGAAGGGGGACAGGGGTGCGGTCCCATCGTGGGCAGGGGGACCTCAAGACCCCTTCCGCCGCTGCCCCCGTTGACCAAGTGACCACCACCACCACTCCCTCCTCCCAGACCCTTCCCCAGACGCGCCCTCCTCGCCCTTCTCGTTGTTGCTGGGTGCTGCGCGTTTTCCTACATGCCCTGGTGAGGCCTCAGATCCGCTCCGAGGCGGCTCCGGGTGGCCACGGAGCTCCCCAAGAAGCCTCCCAAGAAAGCCCCCCAGCAGAGCCCAAGAGGCTCCCCCAAAGGGCCCCAGGAGGGGCTCCAGAGCGTCAGCGTCGTCGTCGGTCGGCGGCGCCGGCCGCAGCGCCTTCCCAGGAGGGAACGACGGGGCTTTCCCTGGCCACGGCCAGCCTCGTCCACGAGCAGGTTCCGCAGCCTGAGGAGCGGCCTCAGAAACTCGAGCCCGCCTTGCGCCCAGGGTGGTGCCTGTCTCGGCGGCTTGGCCCTATTCTCGCGGCGCGCCGCCTGGTGCGCTCTCGGCCCCGTGCCCAGGAGCAGCTTGCCTCCGAGGTTCGCTCTTCCGAGCCTCCCTCCTGCGAAATTGGGTCATCGACTGGTCCCCGCTGCACCGCGAGGCTCCTCCTTCCTGCCTTCCTTCCTTACTTTCTTCCCTCCTTCCTCCTACTTCCTTCCCTCCTTTCTTCCCTCCTTCCTTCCTTCCTTCCTTCCTCCCTTCCTTCCTTCCGTCCTTCCGTCCTTCCGTCCTTCCGTCCTTCCGTCCCTCCTCCTTCCCGCCTTCCTCCTTCATTCCCTCCTTCCTTCCCTCCTTCCTTCCTTCCTTCCTTCCTTCCTTCCTTCCTTCCTTCCTTCCTTCCTTCCTTCCTTCCTCCTCTCTTCCCCCCCTTCGTGTCACCGCTTCTGCTGCACTGCCTCTTGCCCTCACACACGGCCTGTGCCCCGATGAGGGACTCAGAAAAACGGCACCGTGGGGCACGTTCGCGAGCGGCCGCAGCCTCGGTTTCGCCCAGGTATCGAATCCGCACTCTCCTGGGCGGACTGGGCTACAGGGCCTCGATTGGCACTGAATGGGCGATTTCAAGGGGCCCAAGGACACACAAATAAATACACACAAATAACAGGATCCCCCATATTTTCCTATATTTTCTGGGTTTTTGTCTTCCCCCCCACTTCCCATATTTTCCTATATTTTCTGGGGAATCGACGATTCATTGTGTCTGTGTGTCTCTTTCCCTCCTGACGATTGGGGGTCGATGCACTCCCCCCTGAGCCTATTTCCCCCTAACGCTATGGGGCCGGAGGCTCGCGCCGCATCGCCCGTGTCTCTGATGCATCGGCGGTGCCTCTGGGACGTCGGTGGTGCATCAGCGCCGTCGGCGCGGCGAAAATCGGGCTCCGCATAGAGCCGCATCACCCATGCATCGGCGATGCGGCGCAATTCTCCCCGAGCATCTGCTTGGACCCCGCCTGGGAGGCCTAGAAAAATACCCACTGACAGGAGTTGCCTGCGGCATCCCCTCAGTGTTACGTTGCCCAAAAAATGCAGCAACGCAAAAAAAATACGACCAGGGCTCTAAACCCCATGCGTCTGCAGGTTTTGTTCGAACCCGATCGATCCGTGAGGGCCCCCGGGCCCGAAAGCGAAAAAAAAACACGCCAGGCGCAAGAAATGACCCGACACGTACACAGCCTGTCTCCGTGTGCGGCGACCATTAGCAGGAGTGCTCCTTAGAAAAGAACACATTGAGAGATACGCAGCACGCGTGCCCACGGAAGTAATTACCAACAGTTGCGCAATGTGCAGCCTCACTGGGAGCCGCGAAGTCTCGTTTGGGTCTGCGCGCAACCCCACCCCGCTGGGCCTGTCAAACGCAAGCGGGGACAGATGGGCAGCAGGCAGCCCCCGCAGGGAGCCGCAAGGTCTCGTCTGGATGAGCGAGCGGCCCCCCAACGCTGAGCTTCGGCAGAGGGAAACAATTACACTCCGCGAGTACTGAACACTCCCCCTCCCCCCCAAACTCAATGTTGGCACGCGCGGGGGAGACTGCGGTCGACGTGCATCTCATCAGACCCACCGCCAACTTTGAACATTGGGGGGAGGGGGAGGCGTTCACGGATGAATGTGGCATGTGTTCGCTAATTTGTTCCGAGGCCTGTACGGAAAGACTCGACCAGCCGCCCGTTCAATTTACGGAGAGGCACGAAACAGGGGGAACCCCTCAGCTCACTACTCTTCAAGTCGCTCCTCGAGTACAGCATGAGACCGCTCGCCACCGAGTGGCAGCAACGCGCCCAGGGAGTCCTGAGGCCGAGGCCTGTTCCCATGAACCCACCAAGGCGGTGACAGCTGCGCGACTGGCAGCCCCCGGGGAGCC